GCTGCTGGGCGGCGGCGCGCCGGCGGAGGACGGAGAGGCGGAGGGGCAGCGGGCGAGGCGAGGAGGGCAGGTCAGAGGAGGCAGGGGTGCCCATACTTTGGATGCAACTCCTGGGAGGTCAAATTCTGATTTTGCCCTGGTCCGGCTTAATCCGGCTTAGTCCGGCTTGATCCCGCCTGATCCCGCTTAATCCCGCTTCATCTGGCTTAATCCGGCTTAATCCAAAGCCCATTCTGGCGTAACAGCCCCGCAATGGGGCGCAGTCCTCCTTCATCTTTCCGACGAAGACCTCCCAGCAGTTGCTTCCTAACCATACCGTTATCTGTGCCTCGTTTCCCCCTTGGGGGGCCTCCTGGGAGGCCCTCGTCGCCACTGCTGGATTCGCTTCGACATCCTCGGCAGAGCGCACCCCGGGAGTGGTCTGGGGACTAGCGGCATCGGCGCTCTTTGGGTTCTCCAGTAGGGAACTGTTCAGGAGGGGAAAACAAACGCAGACACGATTCATCGTCGACGCCCAAGAAAACACAGGAAAATATGAGGAGTGGGGGGTAAGACAAAAACCCATAACATATAGGGGATATGTATAGGGAATCCCGTTATGTATTTATTTGTGTGTCTTTGGGCCCTTTCAATTGTGTTGGAACGTTGTGGCCACGCCTGAGGGGCCGTGCTACACCTGGCGACGCGCACGCACCCCTGGACAGGCACCGAAGCCCCAAATAGTCGAGGTGGACTGGAGGGGACACGCGAGAGGGCACAATCGGAAACTGGAACATATAGATCACCAGTGGCGGGCTGTTGTTCGATCTCAGGACTTTTTGAGGGTCGGGGACGACGCTGGGGTGGTGTGGTGTATACTTTTTTCCTCGATGCCCCGGGGAAACAAGGAAGAATGCATACACCAGGGTCCCGTATACACCAGGATCCGCTCCCCAGTGCAAATTTCAATGCGGGGCCGGAAGAGGCGTCGGTGTATAGAGTGCGATTCCCTGCACAAGACCAGCTTAAGGGCGACACTGCTATAGGAAGAAGGCACGGGTTGAGGAAGAGGGGGGAACCGAATCACACGGCGCGCCCATGGAGGGAGACGAGACGGCGTGATCGTAGATTCCCAGAGCTCCTGGCATCGTTCGGACGTGTGTATTTTTCCTTCGGCGAGGACCATCGATGGATCATTTGGCGAAGAACCACTCACAAAACCGAAAACAAAACACAGGGAATGGACGTCCGAGCGATGGCCAGAGCTCCGCGCGGACTTCCGTAGGGTCGTTGGCGGAGCCCCGTGCCGGCGCCTCCGGGTGCCGCTCTTGGCGCGCCCCTCGCGCTTGGGGCGCGCGTGCTCGAGAGTCGGCAGAGCACGGTATCTGCTTGTCCGGGTGCGGCAGGCTGCCATCGACGAGTGCAGCCGATTGGGTCAGTGTTGGTATTATTCGTGCTTCTTTGGGGCGGGCTTCGGCCGAAGCAGTCAGCACGATCTGTCCCGCTTTTTGATCGGGTATAGCCAGGGCCCCGGGGGAAGGGGACCCGGTTAGTGGTGGGGCCCTGGGGCCCCTCAATTGGCCAGATTCACTAAACCAGGTTTGCCGTAACTGGTGTTTTTCGGGTGACGGCAGTTCCGGTTAGTGGAAATGGGACGGGGGGGCGCCCCCGGTACAAATGATTAAACCAGGTTCCACTAAACCCAGTTCTGCCAACGCCCGATTTAAGCAGATCGTTATGGCGAGGTCTCTCTGCGGCCCGCTCCGTGGCCTCAGCTGGAACCTCTCTGCTCGCATGCTTGACACAACGACGTCGCGTCGGTGTCCCGTTCTGTTGTCGTGCCTTTAGGAACTCAGGAGTGGTCTCGGGCCTGCCGCGCGATTCTCCCTCGGAAGAATACACCCCGCAATTGCGGATAAGAGTGAGGGGGCGGGCGCAGGTGACGCGGGCGTCGTCGAGCCGGCGGACCTCGTTGCCCCCACCTTCCCTGTCGATGGCGCTCTCCTCCTCCTCCTCCTCCTCCTCCTCCTCCTCCTCCTCCTCCTCTTCCTCGTCCTCGTCCTCATCGTCATCGTCATCCTCCTCCTCCACCTCGTCCTCCTCCTCCTCCTGTTCGTCCTCGTCCTTCCTCTCCCCCCTCGTCCTTCCATCATCGTCCTCCCATTTTCGTACTCCCCCTCATCGGCCTCCATCATCGTCCTCCCACTGTCGTCCATCATCATCATCCTCCCCCTCCTTCCCCTCCTCCCCCCGGAACAATCTGTTTTTGAGATACCCCCTGTCCGCTGTCACGTTGGACGCGTCCTGGGCCTGCTGGCATCTCTTGGGTTCCCTTGGCACGAGGTCCGCGGCCGCCGCCGCGCCGCCGCGCGGGCGGCCGAGACGAGCGCGCCGCCGGCATCCCAGGCCTGCCACAACTGGGGGAGCTGTGGTCCTTACCCCCCTGGGGACCCATCGATTTCGACACCCTCTCGAGAGATCGTCGATGCGATGGGTTCCCCCAGGGGGGTAAGGACCACAGCTCCCCCAGTTATGGCTGGTCGGCATCCTGTCGAGTGCGCGTAATAACGACTCTTTGACCTGAGCGGCCCTTGGTGCCAGCCACCCGGGGTCCCCCGATTGTTGAATGCGATTCGACAGCATCGGCCTGTGCGTTCCTTTCCCCCCCACGCAGACGCGCAAGAGGTCACTCTCGCCTAAGAGTCGCTCTCGCGCGCAGCCGGCTCCTGAAGAAAAAATGCGAGGGCGAGTCGTCGACCGGGAGTTGCAATTTGGCCCGACCATTTGCCTCGCGGCCAGGCGTTCGCGCGTGCGCGCCCGCTGCCTCGCCTCGCTCCGACCTGCCTCTCCTCGCCCTGCCTCTCCTCACTCTGCCTGTTTTTACCAGCCTCGAACGTATCCCTATCCTTAAGATTGACACGCCAAAAGGCGATGACAATCTTAGGAATGCGCCCCCAAAAAATAAGGGAATCCCTAAGAATGCCATCGTGATGAGGAAATGCCCAGCATAGGAATAGGGATATGTTCCAGGCTGGTAACCTGCCTCTCCTCACTCTGCCTGTTTCTTGGCGTGCCGTCCTCCTCCCCCCCGCGCCCCGCGGCAGGATACTGGCTGGGCGCTGGGATTGTCGGCCGCTGCGCTGCTGGACGTGAATTGGGGGGGGTCACCACCCACCAAACCACCCCAACCCAACCCGAAGGCCTCAACTTGCCCTCCATTTCCAGTTGGGGGGGGTTCGGGGAACATTGAAAAAACACATATGGAACCCGTACCCCCCCCCAACCCGAAATTCGGGTCTTCGGGTTGGGTTGGGGTGGTCTGGTAGGTAGTCATGCGGGGGGGGGGGGTCCCTTGTCTTCGTCGTCCTCCCTCAGCCTCGGACGTTTTCGTGGTTCCTCCGTGGCTTTCCAACCTCGGGATGTTTTCCAGCAGTTTGGCGCTTCGCTGGCCCGAGAGCCGATGTATGACCGGGGAGCCGGGGGCAGCGTCAGAAGGGGGTAGGCTTGAGTCGGGCCTGTCCCTCTACAGGTGGAATATACAAACCCCGCAATTGCGGATAAGAGTGAGGGGGCGGGCGCGGGCGACGCGGGCGTCGTCAAGCCGGCGGACCTCGTGGCCCCCACCTTCCCTGTCGATGGCGCTCTCCTTCTCCCCCTCCTCCTCCTCCTCCTCCTCCTCCTCCTCCGCCTCCTCCTCCTCCTCCTCCTCCTCCTCCTCCTCCTCTTCCTCGTCCTCGTCCTCGTCCTCATCGTCATCGTCGTCCTCCTCCTCCACCTCGTCCTCCTCCTCCTCTTCTTCCTCGTCCTCCCTCTCCCCCCCTCGTCCTTCCATCATCGTCCTCCCATTGTCGTCATGATCCTCCTCGTCGTCCTCCTCCTCTTCCCCCCCTCCCGATCCTCCCCCCTCCTCCTTTTTGTCGTCGTCGTCGACGTCGTCGTCGTCGTCGTCGTCGTCCCCTTCCTCCCCCTCCTCCTCCTCCTCCTCCTCCTCCTCCTCCTCTTCCTCCTCCTCCTCGTCCTCCTGCAAAAGCAGCCCGCCGCAGGCGCCGAAAAATTTGGTTTGTACACTGAACGTGGTTTGGGTCGCTGGTGGGCCGCGGGTTCTCCACCAGGAACGAATGCACAAGATGCCCGCCGCAGGCGCCGAAAAATTTGGTTTGTACCCTGAACGTGGTCGCGGGTGGGCTGCGGTCTCTCCACCTAGAACGAATGCAAAAGATGCCCGCCGCAGGCGCCGAAAAATGTGGTTTGTACCCTGAACGTGGTTTGGGTCGCGGGTTGGTCGCGAGTTGGTCGCGGGGTGGGTCGCGGGCTCTCCACCTGGAAGGAATGCAAAAAAAGCCCGCCGCAGGCGCCGAAAATGTTGGTTTGTACCTTGAACGTGGTTTGGGTCGCGGGTGGGTCGCGGGTGGGTCGCGGGGTGGGTCGCGGGTGGGTCGCGGGTGGGTCGCGGGTGGGTCGCGGGTGGGTCGCGGGTGAGTCGCGGGGTGGGTCGCGGGTGGGTCGCGGGTGGGTCGCCGGTGGGTCGCGGGGTGGGTCGTGGGGTGGGTCGCGGGTGGGTCGCGGGTGGGTCGCGGGTGGGTCGCGGGGTGGGTCGCGGGATGGGTCGCGGGGTGGGTCGCGGGATGGGTCGCGGGTGGGTCGCGGGTGGGTCGCGGGTGGGTCGCGGGTGGGTCGCGGGGTGGGTCGCCGGTGGGTCGCGGGGCGGGTGGCGGGTGGGACGACGACAACAAACAACAACAACAACAAACAACAACAACAACAACACGAATCCGCACCGCGGAATCCCACTTCAGCCACGCACCCAGGGACAGTGAATGACCGTTCGGCCCCCTCACTCTGACAAAAAAAATGTAAAAGGAACAGTCTGCAGACTATTTTTGTTAGTATCGTTTGGCCACTTCGGAGTATTATTGTTTAGTATGTTTTACTGTTCGTCGAAGATCGTAGGGGTATTGTTTTTTTGCCATTTCGGAGCATTTTTGTTTCGTATGTTTTATGTTTCGTCGAAAATCGTAGGGGGTCTTGTTCGGCCATTTCGGCGTACTTGTTTGGCATGCTTTATTCTCCGTCGGACCTCGTAGGGGGGCAGGCCTGACGTAAGGCGTAGGCTCCTGGGCGACGCCTCGACCGCCGATCGCCCGCTCGTGGGCCGACGGAGCACGGCTGGGCCAGCCCCGCCCAGAGGAGCGCTCGGTGCCGTGGTCCGGGGCGCGTCGCCGACCTCTCGGGGTTCACTTCGCTCGGGAGCCCCCGAGCGAAGTGAACCCCACCCTCCCCCTCAGAAATCGTGGGGGTATCGCAGGCCCAGAGGTTGACACCAACACCAAGATCGGCGGTGTGCCTCCACCGAGGGATGAAGATCCCAATCTCGGTGATGGTGGCAATATTCTGGCTTCCGAGGTGACCGAAGTATTGCCACCGACACCGAAATCCAGGATCATCTTCCCCCTGTGGAGGCAACCCCCTGTTTTGGTGTTGGTGCCCATTTCCAGGCCTCCAAGGGTAGGGGTTGGGTTCACATGTGGCCCCCTAGTTTCCTCTGCATACTTTTGGATGCTGCTGTTTCCTCCCACAGCCGCCCTTCGGGGGGCATGCCCGACGGAGATCTAGCGGCCCCCACCTGCCGGGCGGGGAGCGAGAGGTTCCCGAGGCGATGCGGCGCGCCGACGTGTCCGAGGCGCGGGCTCCCGACCTCTCTCGACCACTGACAGGCGGCCCGCATGAATAGGTCGACCCTGCCGAATCAAGGGTACCCTCGTGTCCTCGGGAGATTTGAGGCGGAGGTCAATGCAAACGGGGGTCAGCCAGGGCACCAGATCCTGCAGGATCCTGCGAAGGCCCCCTCTGGCTGAACCGGGTTAGCGAGCCGCTCGTGGCCGCGAGGCGGCCGCGTATATTGGCTGACCCGGGTTTGCGAAGATCTGCGTTGCAGTTTTTTTGTTGCATTGCAGTTTTTGGTTTCTTGCTGACCCGGGTCTGGATTGACCCGGGTCAGAAGATCCCCGATGTCCTGTGTCTTGCGACCCATGCTTCCGACATTCCTGTGGCAATGTGGCCCTCGGAAGGGTCTTGTGTCCTCTCGCGTGTCCTGTCCAGTCGAGCCCAACTGTGCTCCCCCTGGGACGGGTGCTTCATCCTCAGGCGTTGGTTGACGGTTCCGAGGCCCAGCGAGGGCCCCGAGAGGCCGAGGGCGCCCAGCGAGGCGAGGACCTCAGTCTCGAGTTGTTCGAGTCGCCTGCGCTACTACCCTGCCTCTCCCTCCCTTCGCCGTCCTCGTCTGTCGTCGTCCCCTCGTCCTTCCCCGCGTTATTTTTTTTCCGCGCCTGCCAGCTGTTGTCTAGGTTTCTGTCCTGTTCCACGTAGGCCTGGCTTTCGCTCGACCTACTGACGCTGCGCGGCCGTCCTCCGCTAGCGGTCGGTAAACAAAAAATTGGTCGAGTCGCCGGACACGCGCCGGCAGAAAAAGGGGTCGGGTGCGCCGACCCGACATGGGCGCGTGAGTTTCCCGCGTAAGGTTTGTGGAGGACGATCGATGGAGAGGAAACAGATGTCTAGATCATGTTGTAAGCATGTGGGGGAACATGTCTAAAACATGTCTAGAACCGTTTTTTCCGACATGTTAAACACAGCTTTTTACACTCAAGGATAGGACTGGTCGGGTGTCCTTTGTCGTGGCATCCGCAAGCGCAAGGTCGCACGTGCGCGCTCCCGTTCTCCTCGCAGTGTGCCGCGCGGGCGGCCCGCGTGAGCCACCGCACGAGGGGGGGCGCTGCGCTGTCTCGCTCAAGGCCCGTCTGGGTCGTTTCGTCGCTCGGGTGTCTGGGCTCTCTCCCCCGCCACCCCCACACAGTTCGGGTTTAGCCAAGACCAAAAGTAAGGGGACGCTGCGTTGTCTCGCTCAAGGCCCGTCTGGGTCGTTGCGTCGCTCGGGTGTCTGGGTTCCTTCCCCCGCCACCCCCGCACAGCTCGGGTATAGCCAAGACCCCAGATGATGGGGACCCGGTTAGTGGCAGGGCCCTGGAGCCCATAAGTTGGCCAGAATTATTAAACCAGGTTTGTCGTAGTTGGTGTTTTTTTCGGGCGACGGCAGTTCCGGTTAGTGGAACGGGCGGGGGGTCGTCCCCCAGTACGCATCACTAAACCAGGCCCACTAAACCCAGCTCTGCCAACGCCCGAACAGCAAACCACGCGGGGCACGTGGCGTGGGCAGGACTTGCTGGGCAGCGGGGCGGTGCTGTGCACCGCGGTGGCGCTGGCGCTGCGGGGTGCCGGCTCTCTGCTGGGCTTGGCAGTGCAGGCCAGTGGGCTCCCCGCACACGCCCCCCCCCCACCCCCCCGGACGCTCCTCCTGAGGACAGCACAGCCCACCCCCCGCCCCGACCAGGTGATCCAGGGTCCTGGCTGGGGGTGGGGGGTGGTGCCAATCACCGCCGCCCCCTGCGTTTTGGAACCGCCCATGTGGCCGAGTTTTGCGGCAAAAGCTCTGCCAAGCTATCGGAGCATGTGTTCCCCCAGCTGCTGTGGAAATCCTTCGGGGAACACTTGGGGGGAGGAAAAGGAGAAGATCCAGAGGAGGAGGAGCAGGAGCAGGAGCAGGAACAGGAGCATGAGGACGAGGCTTCTTGGGCGGATTCGGAGGCATCTTGGAGGCATCTTGGGCCATCTTGGTGGTTTCTTAGGCGAACATGGAGGCAGCTTGGACCTCCTTGGGCCATCTTGTGGCCGTCTAGGGTGCCTCTCTGAACCGATTTGGGGCCCTCTTGTGGTGCATCATGGCTGTCTGGGGAATTACTCCGGACGTCTTGGGGGCATCTTGGGCCGTGTTGGGGCCGTCTCTGGGGCCTCCTGTGCCGTTATGGAGCCATCTTGGAGGCCGCAATGGCCATCTGGATGCGATCTTTGGAGCCTCTCAGGCCGTCGAGGGCCGTCCGAAGGCCGAAAAAGAAGCACATGCCAAACTCTGTCAAAAACCTAAGGGACATCAATGATTTTGGCCTCTTCGCGCCTTCCTGGAGGACGACTTGGGAGCGTCTTGGGGTCCTCTTGGGCCGTCTTGGGCCATCTTTGAGGCTTCTTGGCCGGACTCGGAGGCATCTTGGAGGCATGTTGGGCCGTCTTGGTTGCTTCTTCGGCGAACTTGGAGGCAGCTTGGACCTCCTTGGGCCATCCTGGAGGCCGCCTTGGGTCAATGTGACCATGTTAGGAGCCGTCTTGAGCAGTCGTGGAGTTGTTGGTGGATATTTTACTCGTTTCTGGGCCTTTCGGGTGGCCGGCGGGACGGGCCGAAGCCCCATGGGGAGTTTTTCTTGCGGAAAAGAACCCAAACCAAGTCATCAGGAGTCTGGCACGCCAGGCACCCTTGTGATAAATCAACAGGGGGGCGGCGGATCGAAGACGCCTGCGGCGAATCACCGCCGCCCCTTGCCTTTTGGAGTCGCCCATGTGGCCGAGCTTTGTGGCAAGAGCTCTGCCAAGCTATCGGACCATGTGTTCCCCCAGCCGTTCTGGAAACCCTTCGGGGAACGCTTGGGGGGAGGATGGCGGGGTAGAGGATGAAGAGGAGGAGGAGGAGGAGGAGGAGACAGCTACGTGCGAGCAGGAGGAGGAGGAGGAGGAGGACCAGTGTAAACCTCAGAGTCATCAACGATGATGGAAACCCTCCCTCCAAGCTCCATCTTCATAGGCTCCTTGGGCCATCTTGTGGCCGTCTAGGGTGCCTCTCTGAACCGATTTGGGGCCCTCTTGTGGTGCATCATGGCTGTCTGGGGAATTACTCCGGACGTCTTGGGGGCATCTTGGGCCGTTGGGGCCGTCTCTGGGGCCTCCTGTGCCGTTATGGAGCCATCTTGGAGGCCGCAATGGCCATCTGGATGCGATCTTTGGAGCCTCTCAGGCCGTCGAGGGCCGTCCGAAGGCCGAAAAAGAAGCACATGCCAAACTCTGTCAAAAACCTAAGGGACATCAATGATTTTGGCCTCTTCGCGCCTTCCTGGAGGACGCCTTGGGAGCGTCTTGGGGTCCTCTCGGGCCGTCTTGGGCCATCTTTGAGGCTTCTTGGCCGGACTCGGAGGCATCTTGGAGGCATGTTGGGCCGTCTTGGTTGCTTCTTCGGCGAACTTGGAGGCAGCTTGGACCTCCTTGGGCCATCCTGGAGGCCGCCTTGGGTCAATGTGACCATGTTAGGAGCCGTCTTGAGCAGTCGTGGAGTTGTTGGTGGATATTTTACTCGTTTCTGGGCCTTTCGGGTGGCCGGCCGGGACGGGCGAAGCCCCATGGGGAGTTTTTCTTGCGGAAAAGAACCCAAACCAAGTCATCAGGAGTCTGGCACGCCAGGCACCCTTGTGATAAATCAACAGGGGGGCGGCGGATCGAAGACGCCTGCGGCGAATCACCGCCGCCCCTTGCCTTTTGGAGTCGCCCATGTGGCCGAGCTTTGTGGCAAGAGCTCTGCCAAGCTATCGGACCATGTGTTCCCCCAGCCGTTCTGGAAACCCTTCGGGGAACGCTTGGGGGGAGGATGGCGGGGTAGAGGATGAAGAAGGAGGAGGAGGAGGAGGAGACAGCTACGTGCGAGCAGGAGGAGGAGGAGGAGGAGGACCAGTGTAAACCTCAGAGTCATCAATGATGATGGATTTAACCCTCCCTCCAAGCTCCATCTTCATAGGCTCCTTGGGCCATCTTGTGGCCGTCTAGGGTGCCTCTCTGAACCGATTTGGGGCCCTCTTGTGGTGCATCATGGCTGTCTGGGGAATTACTCCGGACGTCTTGGGGGCATCTTGGGCCGTGTTGGGGCCGTCTCTGGGGCCTCCTGTGCCGTTATGGAGCCATCTTGGAGGCCGCAATGGCCATCTGGATGCGATCTTTGGAGCCTCTCAGGCCGTCGAGGGCCGTCCGAAGGCCGAAAAAGAAACACATGCCAAACTCTGTCAAACCTAAGGGACTCGAATGAGTTTTGCCTCTTCGTGCCTTCCTGGAGGACGCCTTGGGAGCGTCTTGGGTCCTCTCGGGCCGTCTTGGGCCATCTTTGAGGCTTCTTGGCCGGACTCGGAGGCATCTTGGAGGCATGTTGGGCCGTCTTGGTTGCTTCTTCGGCGAACTTGGAGGCAGCTTGGACCTCCTTGGGCCATCCTGGAGGCCGCCTTGGGTCAATGTGACCATGTTAGGAGCCGTCTTGAGCAGTCGTGGAGTTGTTGGTGGATATTTTACTCGTTTCTGGGCCTTTCGGGTGGCCGGCGGGACGGGCCGAAGCCCCATGGGGAGTTTTTCTTGCGGAAAAGAACCCAAACCAAGTCATCAGGAGTCTGGCACGCCAGGCACCCTTGTGATAAATCAACAGGGGGGCGGCGGATCGAAGACGCCTGCGGCGAATCACCGCCGCCCCTTGCCTTTTGGAGTCGCCCATGTGGCCGAGCTTTGTGGCAAGAGCTCTGCCAAGCTATCGGACCATGTGTTCCCCCAGCCGTTCTGGAAACCCTTCGGGGAACGCTTGGGGGGAGGATGGCGGGGTAGAGGATGAAGAGGAGGAGGAGGAGGAGGAGGAGACAGCTACGTGCGAGCAGGAGGAGGAGGAGGAGGAGGACCAGTGTAAACCTCAGAGTCATCAACGATGATGGATTTAACCCTCCCTCCAAGCTCCATCTTCATAGGCTCCTTGGGCCATCTTGTGGCCGTCTAGGGTGCCTCTCTGAACCGATTTGGGGCCCTCTTGTGGTGCATCATGGCTGTCTGGGGAATTACTCCGGACGTCTTGGGGGCATCTTGGGCCGTGTTGGGGCCGTCTCTGGGGCCTCCTGTGCCGTTATGGAGCCATCTTGGAGGCCGCAATGGCCATCTGGATGCGATCTTTGGAGCCTCTCAGGCCGTCGAGGGCCGTCCGAAGGCCGAAAAAGAAGCACATGCCAAACTCTGTCAAAAACCTAAGGGACATCAATGAGTTTGGCCTCTTCGCGCCTTCCTGGAGGACGCCTTGGGAGCGTCTTGGGGTCCTCTCGGGCCGTCTTGGGCCATCTTTGAGGCTTCTTGGCCGGACTCGGAGGCATCTTGGAGGCATGTGCCTTTTGGAGTCGCCCATGTGGCCGAGCTTTGTGGCAAGAGCTCTGCCAAGCTATCGGACCATGTGTTCCCCCAGCCGTTCTGGAAACCCTTCGGGGAACGCTTGGGGGGAGGATGGCGGGGTAGAGGATGAAGAGGAGGAGGAGGAGGAGGAGACAGCTACGTGCGAGCAGGAGGAGGAGGAGGAGGAGGACCAGTGTAAACCTCAGAGTCATCAATGATGATGGATTTAACCCTCCCTCCAAGCTCCATCTTCATAGGCTCCTTGGGCCATCTTGTGGCCGTCTAGGGTGCCTCTCTGAACCGATTTGGGGCCCTCTTGTGGTGCATCATGGCTGTCTGGGGAATTACTCCGGACGTCTTGGGGGCATCTTGGGCCGTGTTGGGGCCGTCTCTGGGGCCTCCTGTGCCGTTATGGAGCCATCTTGGAGGCCGCAATGGCCATCTGGATGCGATCTTTGGAGCCTCTCAGGCCGTCGAGGGCCGTCCGAAGGCCGAAAAAGAAACACATGCCAAACTCTGTCAAAAACCTAAGGGACATCAATGAGTTTGGCCTCTTCGCGCCTTCCTGGAGGACGCCTTGGGAGCGTCTTGGGGTCCTCTCGGGCCGTCTTGGGCCATCTTTGAGGCTTCTTGGCCGGACTCGGAGGCATCTTGGAGGCATGTTGGGCCGTCTTGGTTGCTTCTTCGGCGAACTTGGAGGCAGCTTGGACCTCCTTGGGCCATCCTGGAGGCCGCCTTGGGTCAATGTGACCATGTTAGGAGCCGTCTTGAGCAGTCGTGGAGTTGTTGGTGGATATTTTACTCGTTTCTGGGCCTTTCGGGTGGCCGGCGGGACGGGCCGAAGCCCCATGGGGAGTTTTTCTTGCGGAAAAGAACCCAAACCAAGTCATCAGGAGTCTGGCACGCCAGGCACCCTTGTGATAAATCAACAGGGGGGCGGCGGATCGAAGACGCCTGCGGCGAATCACCGCCGCCCCTTGCCTTTTGGAGTCGCCCATGTGGCCGAGCTTGTGGCAAGAGCTCTGCCAAGCTATCGGACCATGTGTTCCCCCAGCCGTTCTGGAAACCTTCGGGGAACGCTTGGGGGGAGGATGGCGGGGTAGAGGATGAAGGAGGAGGAGGAGGAGGAGGAGGAGACAGCTACGTGCGAGCAGGAGGAGGAGGAGGAGGAGGACCAGTGTAAACCTCAGAGTCATCAACGATGATGGATTTAACCCTCCCTCCAAGCTCCATCTTCATAGG